TATGTATATAACCTGTCCAAAAGTTAAAATGATAATTATTTTTTTTATTTCTTAACCAAAGTAATTTTTAATTTTTTTTTTAAAAAATTTAAAAATCAAACGATACATAACCTAAGAATCTTTTGATAAGTCATTTCTTACATTGGTAACTTACTTAATTATTTGTTAATTTTACGACATTTTTATCATCTGAAGCCTGTTTGGTAACCATTTCATTTTTTGTTTTCAATTTATATTTACAAAAAATTTTAAAGCTGTGATAAAAACTTGTTTGATAATTTTTTTGGTTTATAAATTGTTGTCTCAGTTTGTAAATTTGAGGAAAAAAAATAAATTCAAAAAATGAGTTTACGTTGGTTTTTAAACAGAAATTTAGAAATTTTACTAACAATTTTTTTTTTTCAATTAATTTTTTTAAATAATTTTTTTTTCAATTAAATTTTTTTTTCCAATTAATTTTTTTTTCAATGAATTTTTTTCCAACTAATACTAACCGATGGGGTAATTGGTAATGTTACTTTAAACTTTAGGAAGGGGATTGTAATTTCTAAAATGTGAGGGGTGTCAATGTAGTTTACCCAGTGAGGGTAAAATTAGTATTTACAAAAATTAAATTACTAAGGGGAAAATCTATAATGAAACTTTAAATCTCAGGGAGGGTATGTAATTTTTAAAAAGTGAGAAAGAAATTGTAATAAATGTAAACCCCAAGAGGTGTCAATAATTTACCCTAAAATATAATTAAAAATTCACTTCTTTTTCTCGATGAGAAAGAGCCAATGGACCGGGAAAAAAAAAATGTTTGGTTTAGCTTTGAGAGATGAGTTTTAGAAAAAAAAATTCAAAAAATTGTTTGGTTTGAGATTTTTCTCAAAAAATTTTCAAAATCACTTTCTCTCTCTTACACATCAATCAATCACTTTTTCTCTCTCCTCTCTCATTCTCAATCACTTTTTCTCTCACACACATCTACTCAATTACAACAAAATATCAAATCATCCTAAACTTTCAAATTTTAAAATTACTTTCAAAATATACAATCAAACAAATCAAAAAAATTTCTAAACTCTATTTCCAAAACTTTTTTTAAAAATAACTTCCTCAAAACCAAACCAAACATACACCAACTGTTTTGACTTGTTGCACACTGTTTTGTTGATTAAAAGTGTAGGGTTTTTTTTTTTAGTCAAATTAACTTGGAAACATAGAAGAAAAAAAATAGGAACATAGAAAAAAGTGTTGCTTATATCATTAATCTTCTCATTATTATAATATGTATGTGGTTTTATTATTGTTTTTAAATTCTAATCACTATGGTTGGTTTGAATTTTCTGAATTAAGTTTTTTAAAAATTGAGTTTTTTGATTTTTGTATTCTTTTAATTTTAGTGAATATTTTTAAAATTTTAAATATTTTTTTTACTTTTTTAGATGTACCTTACTTAGATGTGTCTAAAAAGTAAAAAAATTATGAAAAAATATTTTAAAAAATTAAGAAATACATAAAAATAAAAAAATGTATTAAATTCTTATATTTTTTTGTATTTTTGGTATTTAGTGAATTTTTTAAAAAAAATTTACAATTTTTTTACTTTTTAGGTGTATTTATGTTAGATGTGTCTAAAAAGTAAAAAATTTGCATAAAATATTAAAAAAATTCAGTAAAAACAAAAAAATACAGAAAATAAAAGTATAGAATTTTCTGAAAACTGTTTTTAAAAAATAGAAACCAAGCAAAGTGCAATTTTTATTATCTTTTTTTTTTTAATGTCACGTTGATATAATTATAATTTTTTTAATTTTACATATTAAGAAAAAATTATAAATTAGGACTTATGATTTCAATTATTAAGTTTTTTTTTAATCATATTTAAAAAAAATTAATTTAATTTAAATCAAATGTTATAAATTTAAAATTAAAATAAATTGAGACTCGTATATAATTTATATATGTTAAATCTGAATTCATGTCTTGCCCCCTTGCAAATGAGTTCCTAATTCCGTCTCTGACACCTGATAACATTCCTAACTGAAGCAAATCATGAATACGCATACCACGCACTGCTCTACCTCCTTGACCTCATTTACCATATCCACATTAATGTTAATGGATTCAATTGATGTTGACATAGTATAAGAACCACGCATTTTAAAGTGGTTTAATTTAAGATTTTTGATTTGTTTATTATTTTGATATACCTTGAAGGATAATTTAAGAAAAAATATAAGATATATTGAAAATAAAAAATAATTTTAAATAATTTAATAAATTGTATTGAAAAATTGAACTTAACGATTTTTTAAGTGCAAATAGAATCTCCTTTCTAGTACGCTAAATTCAAATTTTAAAATTTTAATTCTTATTATATTTTAATATAAATTTATTAATAAAAACAATACATATTAAATTTTAAAATATATTTTTTTTTTTCATGATACACCTTAATTAATTATATGTATTCTTCCTATTCTAATCATTTCATTTTCTTCCCAAATTTCAATTATTATTTTGTTTTCTTCTTCCTCACTCCAAAACTCACATTTATCAACAATGTCATCATTTTTTATTATGTTGTTACTTGCAAATATAAGAAAGTTTGAACAAAATCCAACAATAAATGAGAGTAATAATCAAAATAATTTTTTAAAACAACCCATCAAAGAAGATGTAAATATTCACATAAATATAAAAGTACAATTATTGATTTCTATATTTTGTATTAGATAAAAGCGAATATTTAGCCTGTTTTTCGTTATTATTGTTCAAACTTTTAAATTCACTTTGTTTCGTTACTAGTGCCGCCTTCGCCGGTGTCGAATTTCCTGATCTTATTTCATGTATATACATGATCAAAATAAAGATTTTTCAAAAGTAATTTAAAATTTTTAATTAATTTTATTTGAGTGTATCTCAAAAGAATAATTTTAAAAAAATAAGATATATTGAAAATAAATTGTAACTATAAATAATTTAATAAAATATACTTACAAAATTAGACTCACATAAATATTTTTTTAAGTATAAATAGAATTCCCCGCCTTGAAAGCACTGCAATATAAACGATTTTTGCCAGGACCCAGTCCAATGTCTTCGATTATTAGGCCCACAGTAGTTAGGGCAAAAGATTATTTTAATAAAAATTAAATAAAATAAATAAATAAAATTTGGGGTTGTCACCTATTGGACTATGAGGAATTTGTGGACAAAAAGAAACTAAAACAGACTGGTTAAAGTTTGACTGGTCCTAAAGTATAACAGCTTATTTTATTAATTTTTAAATTTTTTATAAAAAAAAATATAAAAAATATTATGATAATTTATAATACATTTTTAATTTTGTGTCTAAAATGTTTAGTCTGATGTCCAAGTCTTTAAATTGCACAAGATTTGAAACTTTCACCTTGAATTTAAAAAAAAAAAAAAAAAAAATAGATCCGCTCTTGACCCAAGATTTGAATCTTCCCTTTTTTTAAACTATTTAAATTAATTCTAACCCATAAATTATAAACAAAAATTACATTAAAAACTCTTATATAATTCTTTTCACAAAAAATAAATAAATTACAAGCAATTATAAGAAAAACATCAATAAGAGAGTAATTAATTTTAGGAACATTAATAATTAAAATCTTAATAATTTTTCATAAAATTACCCAAGATTTGAATCTTCCCTTTTTTAAACTATTTAAATTAATTCTAACCCATAAATTATAAACAAAAATTACATTAAAAACTCTTATATAATTTTTTTCACAAAAAATAAATAAATTACAAGCAATTATAAGAAAAACATCAATGAGAGAGTAATTAATTTTAGGAACATTAATAATTAAAATCTTAATAATTTTTCATAAAATTATAAATATTTTGTAAAAGCACTATTGTACTGTAATATTTCTTAAAGAGTATGGAAAAGTTATTTGGTGAAGAGAAATGCTCATATTTTAATCACTTCTAATCTTCACAGGTGTAATTTCCTAAGTTTTATTGAAGAAACATTCCCTTGTCCCCACTTACAATAACAAAATTAGCTCGGGTTTAGTTTTAGAGCAATGATAAAGTAACACATACCAAATATATCGATATATTCAAAAATATAATTGCAAAAGAAATATTTGTATCTGTAAGTACATCAATATTTTTAATACATGTAATTGTCTGTGCATAGTGTGTTACTCTTAACTTTAGGCTTCAAAATATATATATTTATTAATTAACTTGAAAGGCATCATTTGTGATTTCAAAGAAGCTTCAAATGTACCAAAATATACTTTAAAAAATGTTAATAATATTCCTGCATGCACTAAAAACTCATCTCAACAATCCTTCATTTGATTAGCTCAACCAACATATATATAATGTTTTTTCCAATTTTTTATAGATCGAAGAGGAGGTGGTGAGTTCTTGAAAAGGTAAAAGATAATGTGCTTGTGTTCTTATATTTCTGATACTTTTTCTAACTTTTTTATTTT